AGGGCTATGGGGACTGTGTGGTGGATGCACATGGCAGTCTGTAGACTCAAGTGTCTGAACTGAAGCTAGAGATGCAGACCAACAATGTGAGGAAAACCACAGAACTATGTACAAAAGATAAGAGTGGGCCCTAGCCAATTTGGCTCAGTGGCTAGAGCACTGGCCTGCTGACTAGAGGATCCTGGGTTCGATTTCGGTCAAGGGCGCATGCCTGGGTTTTAGGCTCGACCCCCAGTAGGAGGCGTGTAGGAGGCAGCGGTTCAGTGATTCTCTCACCATTGATATTTCTGTCTCTCTCCCTCTCCCTCCCTCTCTGAAATCAATAAAAATGTTTAAAAAAAAAAAAAAAAAAGATAAGAGTGGAACAAAGGGTAGAACTCACCAATCTGTTTACTTATCCATCCACCAGCTCTCCACCCATCTAGGGTGGAAGGGTGGGGAGGCAGAAAAGCACCTGAAAGAGTGAGAAGTTCGAGAACAGAGGCTGATCTGAGGGGAGGGTCTAGGGGCATGTGTAGCTTATCTAATATACCACGAGGCACAAGCTGGAAGCAGTGTGGGGGCCAGAGTAGGGCAGGAAGAGGAAGCAGCACATTAGCATCAAGCTGAAGCTGACAAGTTTGCTGAGGGCCGTGTTCCTGGCTGGAGGTTGGGATAACCCAGCCCAAGTGTGGCTTTGCCCAGACCAGTGATGAATCAACTCATCCTGCCTCTGCAGCTTCAGGCTCTGGAGCGCCCACATACCTGCTGCACCTCAGACAGTTACTCAATTGCTGGCTTGGGGCAAACTCTTGTATTTTGGTAAGACCGCCCAGTCCAAAAGGATGGTCTGTCTGTCCTCCTGGACGGAGTCTGTAGCACAAAGAGCATGAAAATTGGTGCCTTTGTGGGCCAGGCATGCAGACCCACATTTGAGGATCCCACACCCCGCTCCACACTCTCAGACCAGCCCCAGCCACTAGCTGCCTCTTTCCTTCCTTTTCAGGGGTCTCCAAGAGCCTGCCCGGTGCCCCAGTCTGCAGGTGGGAAGCTCTCCCCACCCAGAGCCAGCCTGGAACTGTGCTCAATGCCCCTGGGACTGTGGTGACCTTAGCTATAGCCCTAACATTGCCGCCCTTCCCCTGCCCATGGTAGGTTCTGGTCTGGCATGTGCATACGGGCTCCCCTCGGGGTCTCAGCCAATACCAGGTGGTGCCCTTCAGCCCACCCACTGACTTTATGTGCATCACAGAGTCGCTGCTGTCATGGCACAACGTGCAGGGCGGCCCCATTGTGACACAGACACAGAAGAGAACATGACCCCTGATGGCTCACCGGCCATAGTAATAAAGAAACCCTCACAGACAGAACCCACAAAGACTTCAGTGCACCCACAAGGAGGTCACAGACTCAACCTGCCTTGGAAGAATAGTTCCTATAGATGGGGGTCCAGAGCTTGGCCGCAGGTGGGGTTGGGCTAAGTACATGAAAGCCAGCCTGGCCAGAGCTGTGCTGGGAAACACAGAGAAACTAATGTTCACCTTTGCACGTCATTTCTGAAAATCTCTGAGAAATTAGTGTGACAAAGTGACTGTTGGTCGTCTGGTGACCCTGGTGGTGGGACTATGTGGGAGGGAGGAGGCCTCTGGTAGTCACCAGCTGTACTGGGGTGTACCTGCTTCTTCATGCAGGAGGGGGCGCCTACCTGGTCAGCATGGACCTTGGGACAGCACCACACCTGTCCTTGGGCCCCACCCTCAGCTCTCGGTCTGGGCAATACCTGCTAAAAATCCAGGGTGCCAACGGGAGAGCCTCCTCTCTGTGAAAGAGGATGCCTATGGCCATGGAAGCTGGGAGGCCCCGCTGGGATGAGAGGGCTATGCCTATGGTTGGCAAACTGCGGCTCGAGAGCCACATGCAGCTCTTTGGCCTTTTGAGTGCGGCTCTTTCACAAAATACTGCAGCCTGGGCGAGTCTATTTTGAAGAAGTGGCATTAGAAGTTTAAGATTAAAAAATTTGGCTCTCAAAATAAATTTCAATCGTTGTACTGTTGATATTTGGCTCTGTTATCTAATGAGTTTGCCGACCACTGGGCTACGCCAACAGTGTGTGTGTAGCCAAATGCTGGCATGTGGGTAAGTCAGTGAACTACTGTGAGCAAGCCCTGCTTGCAGGGCGCTCCTGTACAGCAGGAAGACCACCATATAACCAGTCACTTCTGGACCACACTGGACTCTCTGCACAGCCTGGCCAGAAACTTCTGCACACCTCCCCCATCAGCCCCTTGGATCTAGCCAGCTTCCCTCTAGGCTTCTGCTCTCACTGTCCCCACCTAGGTGTCCCCTCTTCAACTTCCACCTGCAGAAAGCCCAACTGAGTCCACCCCCGCTGTCCCCATGGGGCCTGATTGACGCCCAGTGGCTGAGGATGGCATAGCCTCGTGTCTCTATTGGGACTGTGGTGGGCTCTGAGCCTCACAGGTCTGCCCAGCCCACAACAGGTAAACATGCAGAGCAGGTGCATAACCAGCACAGTCGGGATTGACCCTCCAGGGCATAGCCCCCCACAGTGAGGCGCATGGGTTCCCAAAGTCTTCATGTGGGATCTGTGCTGCATGTGAGCTGATGTGCACAACAGGGCTGAGGTCACAAGAGGTGGGAAGTGCAAATGCAAGAGGACGGAGCCTCTGCTGACCTCGCCTCGGCATGAACACATGAGCACCTGGGCATCCCTCCATCCTCAGGTCTGGATCTCTCCTCCCTCACACTCAGCTGTGCTGGCACATTTTGGGACATGGGGTGTGGGGAGCCCAGCTCTGGTCATCTCCCTGACCTGGCATCTGGAAGAGGGGCCATCGTGGTGCTGCAATGGCTTGTGTCACTAAGGGGTGAGAATTGCACAGGACCTCAGTGTCCACATCCATACCCCAGGGCCGTAGCCACATCAAGGGACCCTCCCTCCCTGCCTCCAAACCCAGGCCAGGTCCAGGCTGCAGGGAGAAGAAGGGTGGAACTAGCCTCAGGCCCTTCATGGGAGACTCTTCTGCTCTTAGCTTCCTGGAGGGCTCTATTCCTTCCTTTTGTTTGGCACCACCCAGGGGAGCCCCCAGCTCCTGCACTCCCAGCCCATTCCTGCAGGAGCATGTAGGGTGTTAAGTTAGTATACTCCCTGGGTGTGTGTGTGCTGAAGCTGTCAGCATCTTCACACCCGTCCTGTACATGCACATGGGTGTGAGCACACATGCAGGTGGCTGTTTGTGCTTTCAGAAGGAACGTGCTGTTACTGACGGGGTGTTGTGTGGGCACAAGTGTGTGTGCAATGAGTGTGCTTCCTCACAGCTTAGTTTCAGCTTCTCCGTTCACACCTGTGGGGCCAGTGCGACTGTTCTTGCATACTTTCTCCTGTGGGGCAGGTCTAGGCCTGCCCTCCGACCCCCATTTCCCTGGATGAGCACAGGCCAGCTTGCCTGCACCTCCTCTCTGGACCTCTCTTCCTAGGATAATACCACATCTGGAGCTCAGTAAACGATTTGCTGATGAAGCATGGATGGAAAGAGGGCACTAAGGGGTGCAGTCCGGAGAGGGGCATTGGCGGGCACTCCAGGATGGGAGCGTCCTGGCAGGAGCACCAGTTGGGGACAGGGTCGGGCAGCGCCAGAGGGGGCGGTCAAGCCTGACTGAACCGGGGTTGGGGGTACTGAGGTCGGCAGCTGCCCCCGAGCTCCCGGGGGAAGTCTCCGGTCGCCGTCTGCGCCGCCAGCCGGGTTATTTATGACCCCCTCCCCTCTCTGGCGGCGGCGGCGGCGGTGGCGGCGGCGGCGGCGGCGGCAGCGGCGGCGGCGGCTCCGGCCTCGGCCCAACAGCGGAGGGCCCCGTCAGGGGGACCGCGACGAGCGACCGCCCGCGCTGCGGAGGCCGGGGCGGGGCCTCAGCCGCTGGAGGTGGAGCTGTGGCCGCCGACCCACCTGCCCCACTTCCTCCGCCCCCCCCCCCCCCCCCACGGTGTGGCCCGGAGGGGGATGATTCTAGCCTCTGGCCCCAATCTGAGAAGTGCAGAGGTAGCTGTGGGTCCGGGTGGACAGGAACTGAACAGATCCTCGCGGGAACGGGATGATGACCAGGGGTGAGAATGCCTGATCCCCGTGGGAAAATGGCTCTGACCCCCGGAAAGCAGAGGGTTTGTTTCCCAGAAAGAGGAGGGAATAGGTGGGAGGGCCTAACCAAGGCCCTCATGGGGAACCAGCAGGGAGCTTTGCACTCAGTCACAATCTTTTCAGGAAAGAACCCTAAAAAGATTGAGCAGCTGTCACCAACCTTTCAGACCTCACAGACCACCAGTAGACCAGCGGTTGGCAACCCCTGCTTTAGAGAGGAGTGGAGCCAGATGGTAGCATGCAGGTTGGGCTGGCGGGCTAGGTTAGCCCCACACCTTGCCAGCTGAACCCCTCCCCTGAAAGCCAGAGTTGGGGCCCCCAGGGCCCTCCTTAGCCACTGCGGGCTGTGATGAAAGTGTGAGAAGCAGCTCTAGAGAAGGAAAGGGAAGTCCTACCCACAGGCTCACTGTTGTGACCAGACAGTGGGCACACTGGCCGTCCACCAAGCCCTGGCATCCTTGCATTGACATGATGGTTCCTCCGGCCATGGCTGTAGACATGGAGGCAGCACATCTAAGAGCAAGACACAGGCTGCAAAGGTGCCATGAAGGGAGCTCCCACCATCAGGCTACGCAAGGACTCAGGCTGCAAAGGTGCCATGAAGGGAGCTCCCACCATCAGGCTTCGCAAGGACTCAGGCTGCAGATGGGGCGGAGGAGCCTCAGGTAGTGAAACAAGGAGTCACTCACTCACTTATACCCACGTTCTCATCAGCAGACAGATGTGCCGGGAGTGGAGGAAGCTGAAGGGGGTGCAGAGGTTTGGGTACCCTGACCAGTTAGTTCCTGGTCTGAGCCCAGACCTCCATCGATGCTGTTCTTGGTGCCTCAGCTGAGGATAAGGTGGGCAGTAGGTCTGTGAGGGAAACCAAAATGGTTGCCAATGGTCAACCTCAGGCCCAGCTGGTAGGAGGTGAGTGGCAGTGGTGTGTCCTCTCACTCTCGACCCCTCCCTTGCAGAAGGTGCTTGTGCAAGCTGTGACCCAGCTCCCCCTGCAGAATCTATTCAGGGATATGCCCACAGATGCCCTGCCGGTTGCATCTCAGAGGGACAGGTATTGGGGTCTGACTGCTGGGTTGGGATCTGAGGTTACTTCCAGCCTGTCCACAATGACACACCAGAGAAAGGAAAGCCTGTCTCATCGGTTATTACCACTGCTTTCCTGCAGCCTCTGAGTTTCTCAGCTTCCCTGCCTAATTCTCCCAGTGCAAGGATGACATTCTGACTGGCACAGCGGTGTGGGCTGGTCATCAGGGGACAAGCCACTCTCATTCCTGCTCCAAAGCCCTGAGATAGACATAAATACAGCAGGTCCTCTCCCCCAGAGCTGCTCCTCACAGGAAACTGGGTGTGCTCAAGGGCAGAGCCCCTTCTCCTCCCCACACCCCATCCCTCACCCAGACTAGGTCCAGCCACCTTCTTGCCCCACACCTTGGCACAGATACTGTCTGAGCTAACGTCAGATGACCTGGATATGAAACAGCTGTATGATATCAGGAGTGTTACTTGACTTTTCTGTGTCTCACCTTCCTCCTCTATAAAATGAGAAAGATAAGGAAATAGTACTGAAATGATCAACTTAACTAAGGCATATAAAGCAGCAATCAATAATCAATAGAAATGTTATTGTTATTCACAGAACACAAACCCTTCCCACCTCAGTTGCCAAGGCCTCACTCCACAAACCTAGGCCTCACACCCTGAGGTGCAGAGGAGCCCCCCCCCCCCCACACACACACTGATGCCCACCACCCACAGGCACTGGGCAAACACTCCTATCCAGAGCTGTAAGCTCACAATACACACCTGACGAGGAAGGGAGGGAGGTGGCAGGTGGGGGGTGGGGGCGGGAGAGCGCAATCCCGGATCCCCTCCTCTGACAGGAGCCCTCTCTGGATCTGGGGCCCACCCCTACCCCACGTGGTGTCACAGACTACAGCAGCGGCCCCAAATAGTAACTCCCTCGACAAAGGCGCTTTTCGTGCGCCTGGTCTGGCTAGCTGCCCCCACGCTAGGTCTGTCTCCCTTCCTCCTACCCGCAACCACTCAGGGGTGCAGCCCGGTCCCGCCGCCTCCTTCTGAGGCCGGTCGGCCTTCACGCACCCCCTGTTGGAGCCCGCGCCCGCCCGCCCGCCGCGCCGGGGCCTTTTAAATGGGCCAAGTTGTGGCGGCGGCGGCGGCGGCGGCGGCGGCGGGGGGAGTCTCCCAAGTCCCCGCCGGGCGGGCGCGCGCCAGTTTACGCGGGTACGCAGCCCGGGCGACTGAGTGGGGCGGGGCGGGGCGGAGCGGGGCGGGCGGGGGCCTGGGACCCCGGGAGGGGTGGGGCGCGGGGCCCGAGACTTCAGGGCTCCTCTCCGCCCCGCTCCGCCCGGAGGCGGACCGGCGAGCGGCGGTGGGGGCGGGGCCGCCCCAGGGGGCGCGGGCGCAGGTGGCCCGGCGCCCCGCCGAGCCCCAGGGCCCTGGAGCTGCGGCGTTCGGCACGTCGATCGGAATCGATAGCAGCTCCGGCAGCACCATGTCTCCGTTAGCCGAGGCCCTGCCAGCCAGCTGGGCAGCTGTCCGAGGTGGCCCGGCAGGAGGCGCGGCGGCGGCGGCGGCTGCCGGCGCCGGGGCGCAGTAGCGGGCAGGGCAGGCGCACGGCCAGGCGCCTCCCGGGCTCCCCTCCCGCCAACGAGACCCTGCGCCAGCCTGGGAACAAGTTTCGCCGGCGGCGGGAGCCAGGCTGCAGGACCACTGGCCCGCCATGCCGGCGGTCAAAAAGGAGCTCGCAGGCCGCGAAGACCTGGCCCTGGCTCTGGCCACCTTCCACCCGACCCTGGCGGCCCTGCCGCTGCCGCCGCTCCCTGGCTACCTCGCGCCACTGCCCGCCGTGGCCGCCCTGCCCCCGGCTGCCTCGCTGCCTGCCACGACCGCCGGCTACGAGAGTCTGTTGGCTCCGCCGCTCCGCGCCCCGCGCGCCTACCTGAGCCTGAATGAGGCCGCCCCGCACCTCCACCTGCCCCGGGACCCTCTGGCCCTCGAGCGCTTCTCCGCCACTGCGGCCGCGGCCCCGGACTTCCAGCCGCTGCTGGATAACGGCGAACCGTGCATCGAGGTGGAGTGCGGCGCCAACCGCGCTCTGCTCTACGTGCGCAAACTCTGCCAGGGCAGCAAGGGGCCATCCATCCGCCACCGCGGCGAGTGGCTCACCCCCAACGAATTCCAGTTCGTCAGCGGCCGTGAGACGGCCAAGGACTGGAAGCGCAGCATCCGCCACAAAGGTGCGCCCGCAGAGGGGCCGCGGGCCGCCCCTGCCCCTGCCCCTGCCCCTGCCCTCCGCTCCCCAGGACCCGTGGTCCGGACCCCACTCGTCCACCATCTGGGAAAACTCCGTCACTGCCCAGAGAGGGCGCTGTGACTCCGGGGCGGCCGCAGGGACACTCTCGTCCCCCGCCCCCCCCCCCCCCCCCCCCCCCCCCGCGCCTTGCACAGTCTCCTCTGTGGACCCGGGCAGAGCTCCTCAGCCTCCACCGTTCGCCCAGCTCCAGCTGCGCACTAGCCGGCTGCTCCTTACGCTCCGAAGGTCTTTGCAGGATTGCTGGGCCTCGGGACGCAGGGGAAGTTACGGAAACTCGGAAGAGAGGGTGGGCTGGGCAGGATACTCCCCTCACCCCGACCCCGGAACCCCGGCCACGGGTTCTGGCGGGAGTGGAGGGCACACGTGTGGCCGAGGTGCGGGTGCGAGCTGCTGGAGAGAAGGGCGAGGCGTAGGGTTGGCACAGGCAGGTGGGGGCGGCGGGGCCGCGCATCGGGTCGCGGGCGCGCGCGGAGCTGGACCGGCAACGAAGCTGGGAGCAGCCAGTTGAGCTCCTGCAGGAGCCTGGCTCTTCGGGCCTGAGCGGGCAGCCAGAGTGCGGTGAGCGGGGGTGGGGGTGGGAGGTTAAAAAGTTGGGGACCCAGTAGCGTTCGACTTTGAGGTTCGCGAGTCCACAGTGGCCCGCCTCGGTCTGGAGAGCGCTCGTCCAGGTCTTCAGTTTCGGAGCTCTGGAAATTCCCGCGGGACCCACGAAGATGGGGTGGGCGGCAGGGCTGGTGGTGGGTTTGGAAGTTGGCCTGAGGTGGGTGTGCATATTCGTGCCGGGAGGGAGCCCCCAGCCCTGCTGCTGACTGCACCCCGGAAGTGCCACCCACTCCCTCACCGGTCCTGCATCGCCTCTCCTCACAGGGAAAAGTCTGAAGACGCTTATGTCCAAGGGGATTCTGCAGGTGCACCCTCCAATCTGCGACTGTCCGGGCTGTCGAATATCCTCCCCGGTGGTGAGATGTGGGAAACAGTTGGGCTTCGGGGCCTTCTTTCTTTCCAGGGGAGCGTGTGCTTATTTTGTAGGACCCAGAATCCTCACCTCAACTCTGCCAGTGTGCAGGAGGGAGCTCCCTGGGCAAACAGGGGCGACATTGCTTTGGGGTGGGAATCCTGGGCACCTGGAGGCCCCACCCCCTTTGGATCCTGCCTGTCCTGAAGCTTTTCTTTGGGAGTCTCAGAGCTGCTTTTCCTGAGTCCTGGGAATGTGAGGTTTCCTCCCTGGAGAGTCTCGTCCAACTGGCTTGGAGACCTGCCCTCAGCAGCCTGGGGGGTCACCATGTCGCCTGGCCAGCTTGGAAGAGGAGCTGGTCCTAAGGAATGCTTGTTCTGGGGTGGGACAGTGTTGTCCGGCCGATGTGTGTCTGGGGGGTGGTTACAGGCTTGGATGTGAATGATGTGCCTTTTTGGGTACCCACAGCTGGAACCCTGCAGGGCAAGACCTAGGGTGTGCAAGACTGTCTGGGGCAGCTCTGTGCTCTGTGGGCCTTTGGTAACCAGAACTGAGGCTAGTATGGGGCCCCCAGCCCAGTGTAGACATGGCCAAGGGGAGCCGGGCAGAAGGTGCTGTGCCTGCCCCGGCACATGTCCTCCAGGCAGCAGCGGGTGGAGGGTTGATCTGGAAAGGAAATTTCATCTCAATAAGGACCGATTTCGAGGCCCTGGGGAGAGCTGTTAGAGACCTGGCTGCGCAGTGGGTGGTTGTGTGCTCTTGCTGGCACCACCCAGCAGTCCCTCTCGCAGGAAGGGGTGGGAGAGGCAGAGGCCTGAGAGGACCCAGGGTCCCTGGCCTTTATCTTAGGGACAGCCCTCAGTTGGGGGAAGGAGATCCCGTCCTGGGTTCCTCTTGGGCCCTGGCGGCAAGGAATCTGGAGGAACTAGGAAGCCACAGACACGTGTGAAGACAGACACCAGGTCAGACGCACGTGCTGGGGAGGGGACTCACTGCGTGCCCACTGCACACAGTGTCTGGCATGAGCTCATCACCCACAGCCATGCCTGCACACGACAGTGTGTGCACAGGTAGCCCACCTCCTGCCACGGCCTCTGTACCTTCCTGGGGCCAGAGACCAAGCTTATGCTCCACTCTGCACCCTCTCAAGCAGCTGGAGCAGAGGAGGGGTCCTCAGTGCCTCCTCGCCGCTGGCCTGGAGCTTCTGCTCGGGTGGAGGAGCTCTGCCTTCCCACAGGAGCAGGGGGCAGGTGGCCTGAGCCCAGGGCCAGTTCCTATGGCTGTGACGTGGATGGCGGTTCAGACAGGGATGGGGGCACAGTTTAGGACTGCCTGCCTGTCCGGGGCTCCCAGGTTCCTGCTTTGCATGAGCGATCGCTCAGACCTGGGCTTGCCCCTCCGAGCCTGGTCCCTCCCAAGCCTGTCATTCTACCCTGTCCTTAAAGAGCCCCATGGAACTCCTGTCTTTCCAGCTCCCACTTTTCCACACAGACGGGCTTCTCACACAGCCAGCTCCATAGGTGTATGTACACCACACAGTCACAGATACTCAAGGGGCAGGATTTGGGTCTGTGGCACAGGTATCATGCAGCCATACAAGCGGCCATCCTTGCTGCCTGAGGAGCCAGTATTTGACTAGGGGTGGAGGTTCGGCACCCAGTTTTCAAATCTGTGCTGCTGAGTGGGGATGAGTGGCTGAGGTTTCCAGTGTACGTGGAAGGCATGCATATCCCCTGTCCTTGGTCGGGGTCAGGGCTGCCCATCCTGTTTCTGTCTCTGAGCCCCCTTCCCACTGGAGTGCCCACAGGAGCCTCCCCAAGCCAGCAGAGCTGGTCTGGCCTCATCGCAAGCAGGAATCTTAACCCGCCATTTCCCTCTCCTCTTCCCTATCCTGTGGATGAGAAGCAAAGAGCACACCTTTCCTTTCCTTCTTAAGTGGGTTTGACTCAGTAGGAACGAAGGTCCTGATGCTTGGCCTACAGCGGGCTAGAGAAGGGCAGAGCTGAGCGGGACGTCCCAGCAGAGTTGCACTCCAGACAGGCGGGGAGCTGTTCCAAACTCCCAAGCCCACTGGTTGGCACGTAGAGGTATGGGGACCAGACAGTGGTCACCTGTGCAGCCTCACCTGCTGATGCTGGTAACGAGCTGGGCCAGGGTTAGAGTCAGAGAGGGGCTACGGATCAGGCCCTGTCTTATAGGCTACTCACATACTAACACCCCTCCCACAACCTGTGCCGGCTCCCGGCTGCCCAGTCTGTCTCACTGAGAGCTGCAGAGGAGACTGGAGGGTGTCCTGGTAGACTCCTGAGGGCAGTGGAGGAGACTGGGGCGCCTGAGGGTGGGGGTGCTGTGTGTCTGGACGTGATGGTGGACTGGGTCTAAAGAGAACCAGTACTCTGAGGACAGGACTGATGGCTGCAGAGCCGTCCTTCAGGTCCAGGTGGCACTGATGCAGGGAGCGGCCAGGTCCTCCTGACACTTTGCTCCTAGAGCTCAGGGGTATGGTGGGAATGCCTTATCCTGGCAACAGAAGGAAGGAAGTCAGAGGAGGCCACTGGGACTGAAAGTATGAGAGAGAATTCGGTAACCCCAGGACCCCTGCCACCTCCCTGAGCCAGTAACTTGTCACTAAATAAGAAAAAGCTCCCTGCCCACCAAAAAACCATCATTGCCTTTTCTTCTTCCCCTGGGTGGTGGGACCTGAGACAGTGGACAGGGCCGTGTGTGTAGGAAGCTCTCCAGCATGTATGTACCAACTCTAAGCATGCACTAGTTTTTGTGGAGTTCCCTGTGCATTTGTGTTCTGGCTCAGGCACCTCGGCTCTGTGCCAAGAGCCCTACCTGGTCACAGTGGGCGGAGGGGTGGGGTTCAGGGGCCTTATGGAAAACTTATCGTCTAGGGCTCCTGGGCTCACAGTACTGGGCTGGCCAAGGGATCAGTGAACCCAGGCCTTCAATTTATCAGGGACTTCAGACCCCCTGGGACCTGGGCTCCGCATGGCTTGGTCTCCATTGGGGGTTCACAGATCTGAGTAGGGTTGCCAGGCAGACACGCATGCACACATGGAGGATACTGCATGTCAAAAGAGTGACAGGACACACAGAGAGGTTGTGGTGCAGACAGAAAACCCCTCTGGGCTCTGAGGAACTGGGAGAGCCAGGTCTGCCTTCAGGTGGCATCTCACACTCAGGCTGATGGCCGGGACGGTTGGGCTGGAGTGTGCAGTCAGGACAAGGCAGTGCCCAGAGCAGCCTGGCCAGGGCCACCCCTGGAAGGGCTCTGCCCGAGGCCTTGTCTCCCTGCTCTTGACCTCTGGTCATTCGTGGCTTATGCCAACCCTAGGGCCCGTACTGGAGGCTGGTGGCCTATTCTTGACTAGGGCAGTGGGGAGCATGGGCTGCTGACTGTGCCTATGTGATCTCAGTGAGGCTTTGTCACCTGGGCCTACCTAGGGGTTGGGCCAGGTTGCAAGCCACCAGGGAGCCAAGGGGCTTACCTTCCTCTGTTCCCTCTCTGCGCAGAACCGGGGGCGATTGGCAGACAAGAGGACAGTTGCTCTGCCCTCAGCTCGGGTTCTGAAGAAAGAACTGACCCCCAGCTTCTTAGCCAGCGATGGCGACAGCGATGGGAGCGGGCCAGCCTGCGGACAGCGGCCTGGCTTAAAGCAGGAGGACGACACCCACGTCCGGATCATGAAGAGAAGGTACTTTCCCAGGGCGAGGACGTGGAGGGCATGTGGGCTCAGATGCCAGAGGGACATCAAGGCAGGTCTGCAGGCAGCTGAGGCAGGTCCAGCCTGGAGGGGAGTCCTTTGCCCTTGGGACTGGGCCCGAGTTTAGCTTGTTGTGCCTCAGCTGAAGCATGCCAGTCCCTCCTTCTCATGGGACCACAGGGACTGGATCAGCATTGTTGGGGGGTGAGCACAGCAATGGGCTGAGGAAGGAAGGAGGACTGCCCAAGGCTCCGGGGGACAGGGAGCCCCAGACAAGGTTTGGGAAGGGGTGCCTGGTCCCACCACAGCCAGGTGAGGGGTGGGGAGTGGGTGGACCCTCCCTCAGGGAAGCCCCTGTACACTTGTGCTCATGTGCCTTGGTGGGTGGTAGCTCTGATGGGTCCTCACTGTCCCATCCCAGGCTGGGCCCACCCTTCCTGACCTCCCACATCTCCTCTCACAGCAGAGGAACCTCTCTCTGGCCA